TTATGTGTTATGGAATGCTATAATTATTTTTTCAGGACCTTCATTAGTATACTAGTGTCGAGAAATTAGACATTTAAGAACAAAATTTGTCATTTCTCATCAATTTTTCATCATTTCCACTTTTAGCAATAACATATAGTTCCTTATATCTTGAGTTTTATGCTGATTGGTTGATGAATTCTTGATCAAATCTGTTCTTTTGCCTGCCTTCTTTGATTTAAGGTATTTAAAAATGTATATTGGAAAGCCTGTCATTATATTAGAGCTTACATATCTCCCTTACCCCATTTATTTTGAAAAATAACCAGAAATATAAAAACCAAACAATTTCAAAGTATAGACTTTAACAAAGTTGTCGCTATTCTAGTTCAATACTAAGTATTATTTGATATTTTTCAGATGTGTCAGGAACTTCATGAGTATACAAGTCTAAAAATTAGACATTTAAAGTTGAGTTGCAAATGGGGGGGGGGGGGTATTCTCTATCTTTGTCCATTGGGCTTTTCTGGTTATAATATGTTGCAAACTGCTCATGAATCTATGCAATTATAGTAGAACACTTGGAATATATTTAAAGTAGTGTGATAATTATAACCAGTGATCAAGCCATATTGGTTGAATTCCCTCATATCAATTGCAATGTTGTCAAAGGCTTGGTGATTTCCATATTACACTTAAGTGTGGTGTAATTAGGAAGTTCATGATGGATATTGGGCTTGGGGATATTTTGGTAAATGCAAACATTGTGAAATGAAGAACAGCCAACAAGATGATTTTGGAAAGTATTACAAAATGGTAAGCTGTCTTTGGTTTGTGAAGCAATGTTACTGTACAGGGTGTCCGGAAAGTAAAGATACAAATGCTCTAATTTCATTAGATTTACCTGTTGTAAGATGAAATTGCTACAGATTATAGAATGACATTATAACAATTAATCCTGCAACTGTCATGACAATTTGTTTCAAAATGAAAAAGTTATGGCTGTTATAGTAACGGTAGTCCCTGGTATGTGGAGCAGCGTCACAATTATGTTTTATAATTTTTTTCTCCTGCTGATATCATCTTGACACGCCATCATCTGTTGTATTATACATCAAATTATGTACCACAACAGCAAAAGAAGAAGTACTGTAACATTATTTGGTCATTTGACATTACTACTTTTATCCAGTATTATGTATTTCCCAATATTATCTAAACATTCATGGTGCATCTTGACCAGAGATTTAAGACCTGACAAAACCGCTGATGTCCATCTCTCAGATTACTGATAAAATAGGCTTCAAGCAGTCTCATATTCTTGTTGAACTTTTAACAAATATTGCTTTAAGAATTTCATTAATGTAGGAGTCTAACGGGACCTTCTCAGTGTAATATGGGCTATTGTACAAAAAGGTACCGTTTAATGTCAAGACATTCAATTGTAAGGTTTGTTTTCTTTGCTTTGTGAATTGGTGCATTCAGGAGGTGCACTATTGACTTTCCTATTAATCCAGGGACCTTTTTTCTAAGCACTTAAATAATGTTTCTTTGATTATACTGGTTAGTGACTTTATATAGTTATGATATGCATCAGTGATATCATTAGTCTAAAGAGAATACTATGGCAGCAAGAATACAATATTGAACAAAACAAAACATTGATAGGAAATACAATAATAAACACTGTTTCAAATGGTTAAATTCTAGCAATTCATGACAATTTAGCGACATCATGGAACTGCTCCGCATACCCCTGACCACCGTAACCATGACAATCGTAACTTTAACACGTTTATGTTATAAAAGTTGGTAGATGAATTGTAATCTAGACCTAAATCTATTATAAAATTAGAGTGTTTGTATCTTTACTTTCCGGACACCCTGTATCTCTAAATTATGGGATGAATTTCACTTATGGCAGAGCTGCTATTGAACTTTGCAAAACTGATAGTTGCAACAATCTATCAAATACTGATCATGAAGAAGTTGACACTCTACTTATGGCCCATACAGTGCTGCAGACAAGACAAAGGAATTCAATGTTGAGAGAATTTGTATTCAGTCTGATTATACAGAATGCTGCTTGCAAAGAAGGATGAGAGTTAAAAAGAGCGCTTAAAGTTTCTTATGTCCTTCAAGGTAACATTCTAAGTTACTATATGAATCTCAAAGTGCAATACCTATTTGAAGATATATCAAAAATGGGTGTCTTGTACCAGTACTCACAAACAAACCTTCGTAGCAACACAATATAAATATGTCCTTGGCAATTCGCAAATATAAAATGGCAAAAGGCAGGGAAAATTTTATCTCTAATATGTATATTTGTGTTTAAAACACATTGTCTATGCTTTGAAGATAACAAGACACATAATTGAATATATATGATCTAAAATATGTCAACTAATCCCCATTCAACTAAAAATATAAACAACTGTTGCTGAAAGTGAAAAATTGGTCATTTTGCCCATTTATGTGTCATTTTTTGATTTTAGTGTGCTAATAAATGTGCTAAACTTTTGAAAAGTTTAAGCATATTAACATACAATAATAACATTTGTGTTGGTTTTCTTATTAAATGGTGGAGGGCAGATCTTAGACCTCTAATAAAAACATTCGTTGTCTTACATACATTTTCTTTAACTTAAATCAAAGAAAACAGATTCAATATTCATATAAGAATTATAATTGTGGAAAATTATATGTTACTGCTAAATGCAGAATGCTAAAAATGCCAAATTTTAGGCACATGTAATCAAATGAAGGTTACATAATAAAACATAGTATTGATAGAGAATAGCTACAATTTTGTTAAAGTTTATGTATTGAAATTACTTTTACATTATACAAAAAATGTAAATGGGGCAGGGGAGACATGAAAGCTCTAATATCAACATTGGTTGTCAAATATACATTTTTTCTATCCTAAATGGAAGAAGACGTGTACAAGAACAGATCTGACCAAGAATGCACCAACCAGTCAGCATAAAACTCAAGATATAGGGACCTATATGTTATTGCTGAAAGCGAAAATGAAAAAAAGCCAAGTTTTGTCCTTAAATATCTCATTTCTAGGCATTAGAATACTAATGAGGGTCCTGAAACATCAGAAAAAGATTAAATAATACATAGTATTGACATAGAATAGGTACAACTTTGTAAAAGTTCATAATTTGAAGTTATTTTACTTTTTATTAATATTTTCCGATCATTTTTTCCTAATAAATGGGGTGGGGGAGATCTGAAAGCTCTACTATGAACATTGAAAAAAGCCATGTTTTGTCCTTAAATGTCTCATTTCTAGACACTAGTATACCAATAAAGGTTCTGAAATATCTTAAAAACATTAAATAACACATAATATTGATATAGAATAGCTACAACTTTATTAAAGTTAATAGTTTCAAGTTATTTTATATTTTCATATTTTTCTTATAATTTTTCATTATAAATGGGGTAGGGGAGATCTGAAAGCTCTAATATGACCATTGGTGGTCCACTATACCTTTTCTATACCTTAAATGGAAGAAAACATCTACAAGAACAGGTTTGATTAAAATTGCAACAACCAGTCAGCATAAAACTCAATATATGAGGAACCATATGTTACTGCTGAAAGCTAAAATGATTTTAAAAAATGCCAAGTTTTGTCCTTAAATGTCTCATTTCTAGGCACTAGTATACCAATAAAGGTTCTGAAATATCTGAAAAACATTAAATAATACATAATATTGATATAGAATAACTACAACATTGTTAAAGTTTATAAATTCAAGTTATTTTACATTTTCATATGTTTCAGTAATTTTTCATAATAAATGGGGTAGGGGAGATCTGAAAGCTCTAATATGACCATTGGTGATCCAATATACATTTTTCGTATCTGAAATGGAAGAAAACATATACAAGAACAGATTTGATCAAAATTGCAACAACCAGTCAACATTAAACTCAAGATATAAGGAACTATATGTTACTGCTGAAAGCGAAAATGATCAAAAATGCCATATTTTGTCCTTAATTATCTTATTTCTAGACACTAGTACACTAATGAAGGTCCTTAAACATCTGAAAAACATTAAATAATACATAGTGTTAATATTAAATAGCTAGTGTTTTGTTTGAGTTGAACATTTTGACTTTTTGTAGTTTCCATTTTTAGCATATTTTCTCTAAAAAATTCAAGGTATGTCTTCTTCGGACCAATATTTAGATATGTTCGCAAGAGTTATATGCTTCGCAGGCGAAATCCCTTATGCAGGAAACCCTAATAGAATGAAAAATACAGAGAAACTCCATCCAGCTCACAAAGTCATTTTTTGCACAATTCTCACACCTTCCACCCCAAGTATTAAGGATATTCACTACAGAGAGGGGTTTTCACTCCAAAATAAAAGACGTTTCCCTGTATACCAAATTATACGCATTCAAAATCAAACTGGAACGAAACTCAATTCAATTTTGTTGTTAAAGTAAGACTAATTTAGGGCAACCGCATCATTTTATTTTTATTTCAAATAAAACATGAGGCGTTGTCAATACTGAAGAATTTAAACTATGTTGATTTGATCTTCACATGCATTAACTGACGTGGTAATGGTGTTTGTGGGCTTGCCTGTCACCATGGTTACCTGGGATTTTATCCGAGGCTAGCGATATAGAATGAGAAGAGTCTCCAAATGTCCCATAACTTTTTTGAATATAGAAGTTTTCATTTGCCATAATAATAATGTCTCTATCATGTTATGATTATCCAAAACTTAATTTAGTTTTTAGGTAGACCCCTGTGAATTTTCTTAATTTACATTGAACAACTTCGTAGATGTTTTGTTTATACATTACATGTATATTTTATCAGGGGTGTGGATATTTTTACACCGCGAATACATTTTTCAAATTGTACAAGAGATTTTCTCGCATATTTTATTTCATATCTACGTATTGTCTTCACAGTTCAGTTGTATCTAAGTAGTTCCGAGTCATTTATTTCTAACACCTGGACTTTTAAATTATTGTAGAACCTGTGTGACGTCATCCAGGCAAGAAATGGGTTGATAAAGTACGAAGAGTGCATTATTGCCTTGATGAATGCTGATTAGGGTGTCCAACAAATTGTGCGAGAGAGAAGCCTATTTCTCAATTTATCACCTTGGACGATAAATACGATTGAAAAACGATTAAACAAGTTCTTAGATACCAGAATAACCCCCCTTTTTGGAGAGTTTGGTGATTTAGTTAACGTTTACCATTTGAAATAGCCTGACACGTCTACCAAAGGACACGTCTATTGAGAGACACATCTTCTGAAAGCTAAGACACGTCTACCCGGGACACGTCTAAAGAGGATAATCGTGTGGGCCGATTGAACAATATGCTAATCAAACCCACATAAACTGTGAATACGAGGGTGGCTCAAGAAGATTTGAGGATAGGTCGATATGACGGGAACTTACGGCCCATATTCGATCTACGTTTTGGGATGTGAGGGCGTCGGGAAGACAGGTATACCCAATCATAAACAATCATTTTGGCCAAGGTTGAAAAGGGTTGAATTTGAAAGTATTCAGAAAAAAGTCGAAGGTACGATTTTTCTTTTTTCCTTATTTCACACTTTGTAGGCAGAATTCCCCACGACATTTTTATCACAAACGTGTATCCGTATCATATGTTTAAGAAAATGTACATATTTGCGAACAAATAATTCAGAAGACAACAGAATCGTCGATTTAATTCCTCACTTAAGTTACATAAACGGTATTTCGAAAAACAGTTAAGATCTGCACTTTTAACCCATACCGTTTATGTAACTTAAGTGAGGAATTAATCGACGATTCTGTTGTCTTCTGAGCTTTTTTTCGCAAACATGTACATTTTCTAAAACATATGATACTGATACACGTTTGTGAGAAAAAATGGTGGAGATTCTGCCTACAACGCGTGAAATAAGGAAAAAAGAAAAATCGTACCTTCGACGTTCCGACATTTTGTTACCGAAACGGTAATCGAGCGGATTTACAGTGATTTACTTCCGGAATTACCGAAAAGTCAACCTCCCCTAAAAAATCAAGTAAAATCTAATGATCTTGCAAGTTGAAAAAAATCAATAAACGCTGAGATAACGTGTTGGACTTTTACCCTTCCCCTAAACGATTGTAGGCGTACATCGATAAAAACGAGTGTGACCAAAATGTAACTGGGTTTAAACTTCTAACAAAAATTGTCATTTTATCTACGATAAAACGTTGTGCAATATATCATAGTTATATTTCGATCAAAGTGTTTATAAGTACACTCATCTCATCTTGAAAGTTTGGTTACCACAATTCCATTATGGATAAACTATGGGTACTGGTTTTAGGAGGTATAATGGCCGGTGGTCTCGGCCTGAGGCTATTAGTTCCAGTAAGACCCAGTACGAATGGTTAATCTAACTTAAATCTCACACTGACTCTCATGAAAGGTAAATGGTCCGTGATCAAATTTTAGGAAAATTTGATTTCTTTTGTATTGACTATAAGGTATAAATTTTCAATCTCGTTGCAATTGAGAGAAAAAAATGAACAACAAAATGAACAGGCCTTACCACGCTATTCGAGAGTTAAGCAGTGTTTCCAAATCTTTCGAAGGAAGCTTAGATTCTTTATATTGGAAAATACATGGTGAGCCAAAAAAGTAACCCAAACAAATGTATGTTAATAACTCAGTCATTCAGCATTTAATTACTTAATTGTTTGATGTTCTTTCATTCTACTAATTATAAATTACATCGATGTATACCTATACCATGGCCATTTCACAAAAGAAAATGGCCATGGAGAAAGGGTGTGAATACAAAATAGACATATCATTTTAAATGATCTTTTCTAAATGAATTGGTACATTTAAATATTGCTGTCGTGGGATGCTATAGGTAGAAAATAAAGATCCAGATGTATATTTTCCAGCGATCGTTGTACGTTATTTGACAAAACGTTTCCTCCCCGAATATTGCCATGCAGATAATACAGTGTACGAGCGTCTAGTTGTAGTCGATGACAAACCAGTCCAACTGAAGATCCATAACCCAACAGGAAAGGTTAGTTTGGGGCTTATGACATACCTGTTATTTTGTTTGGTTCCATGACACTCCGTTTGATGGCGCTTAGTCATTAGGGGGGGGGGGGGTGTTGAGGTACACGGTTTTTAAACGTATACGTGAACGTGTAAAATTATGGTCCTCTGTGGATTAGTTCTCTCATTTGTAGTGTTTACCTGGCCGATTGAGTATAAAGGTATTCGGAATATAATTGTAATTAGGTCCCTGGAAAAGTGAATTGAGAGCGGGCCAGTAATCCATGTGGGTCGAAATATTACCCGCTTTTGTACAGGTTCTCTTAAAAACGTGTAACTTATCCTCCATATCATCTGCCATTGAATGTGTTTGGAACCACATTGCTTCCAAATAAGGCACGAATGCATGCTAGTATTAAGAAGGTTACATGTGACAGCCTCATACTAAGGACTGAGGTTTTAGTTTTGATTTCAAGCAGCTTATTGACAAGAGTTGAAATGCGTGTATTGTAGATATCTTATTTTCTCAATTTTCCAGTTACCTAAACCTTGTCACTTTTGCAGGGTATGAGATCTAAACTTCAAGAAAAATCAACGTTTACAAAAACAGATGGTTTTATAGTGGCATATGACATTACAAACAGAGCAAGCTTCGAGGGAGCTATGGACATTTTGGATATTATCAAACGTGAAACTAAATCGGATAGATCCAAAGAGAGGGCGCCACCTACAATACTTGTGGGTACTAAAACTGATCTCAATCATTTAAGGTATTGCACTTCAGCTAAGCATCGAGAAAAAAACATAAAACCCCGAAAGCACACCTTATTATTTAAAAGAGAGTTTCAACTTGTCACCAGAAATAATTCAGTGCGCTTATTTATCTCGAAAGTTGTATACAAGTACTAGTTTAGGAGGAGGAAAGAGAAGTGTCGTCTGGGAAGACACGAGCATATCTTTGGAGCTATCACTGCTACTATAATGCTACTATAATGAATTTAAATGCCTTGTCATGATTTAGGAAAATGGCGTCCACGGATGCCCATATGCACAAATTAATAATCAATGTTTTTTTAATTTCTTGTCATGATTTAGGAAAGTGTCGTCTGCGGAGGCGCATAGATGTTGCTGGAGTTACGTCTGCTGCACCTTCCAGGAATGCTCTGCAGCCTCGTGGTCCTCGGAGGTTGAACAAATATTCCTCAGCCTCATACGTAAAGTAGGTATAAAAAGCACGAAAGGCAACATTCGAAAAATGCAACAATACAAATCCCTATGAATAAGAAAAATCAATTTTCAACAATACGAAACGTCAAATATACCATGGGGAAATATTTATGGTTTTAGTTCACCAAATAATTCATTGCGATTAAGTTCCATCAATATTTGACTAAGATGACTATCAGGGTTCCAGGAATAGAAACCATGTCTACCAAATGAGTACACGTCATTTCAATTTCCATTTAGATGATGGAGAAGAATATTGGAACACCAAAGAGACGGAGGAAGATTTCAGCAGGAGCTATGATGAACTCTGGGATGAGACCCACCCTTCCACAGGTAGAGAACCTTAGGAAAGACACGATACAACGGCGTTTCAGCTCTCTTATTGCGCCCATTCTGAGAGACAGGACTTCTAGCATGTGAGAACACATTAAAGGGGCTATTCCTTTAAGAGCCTCAACAGGGACAATGGTGCTCACTTTGCATGGCTTCATAATGACCAATTCATGCTGTTTCAATAGTGCTGTACTGGTCACGGATTCAATATTAGGGAGTTTAAGCTTGCATGAAAATCGAAACGCCAACCTATACGTATGACAAATCGCCCATGCAAATGCATCGCTAAGTAACGTACGTTCGCGTTTAGGTTGTGAAAAACATTGCTAGCTTAAACTCTCTAATGTCATTAAAAGTGCAGATTTCAAACTATTTCACACGTGCTTTTACTTAACCCAGCTTTGAATATAACCTAGTATGAAGATATTTCACATCACATGACGTTGCCTGTAGATGTGGGAGATATGTGAAAAAGTGCCATAGATGATTAAACATATCAATTACTTTAAAAGTGATGTTACCGTATCATCGTATTGTGTTTTGAAATGCTAAATGTTAAAAAGCCCTGATATTTGTGCATTTTTCTCTACTTGCTGAAATTTATACCTAGTTTTATACCAGTATCAGTACAGCATTGTTGTATAATTGTACATTATAAATACATTACTGCCAAACGATACATTATCAAAAACAATTGTAAGAGAGTATGATGATGACAACTGCAGTTAACGATTACCAAAATGGCTGATATATTGTATAGTTGTTTCTCTGACGTTAACACCAGTTAGTTAATTCACTCCCTTGTGCATCAAACATGGTAGTACATAGGGCATTTAGAATTTTATATAAACAGATTTATTCCCTGCAAGATATGATATCTACCAGCTCCACTCTTTTGGCATTTTGTCTGAAGTGACGAAGTAATTTCTGCTTATGTTTTTGTTGTGAGGTTTGAGAGAATCTAAAAATATGCTAAATATAAACCCGTAGAATGAAGACACTCATCTATATAACACGTAGACTAAGGTTGCTTAGGAAATGGGGCAGTAATGAATTAATGTAAATTACTCAACGTATATTTGTTATAATTCGTTATGGAACATATCATAGACATTTACCAGGAAATGGTACCATACACTTTAACCATGATATACTATTTATCTTTGTGTTTTATGACTAGTATTTCATAAATCTTAGATATTCAGGAGATCATTATCAGAAATACCACACGATTACTAATTGCTTCCCATATGCGAGTAGGTAGTTACCAGTCTCACCACCAGGTGGCTAATTGGTAGCAGATAGCCTGCCAGATATCATAGAAAGCTCTTTAATACTAGATATAGTATAGTATTCATCACTTTCAATCGTATCTTACAATGACCATCCTCGAGTTTCTGATAATGACCCCAGACTGCAATTTTACAACTGGGTAAAGGGACCCATAAAACCTGATAGAAAAATCTCAGTTTTTGTTGGACAGATTCAGTTTGAAAGATGTTTTACTTCAAATTCTGTAATGCCGTCTATCAAGAACTGACATTTATTAATTAGTTGATATTCTATTGTGAGCTTTTTTCAGTGAATTATTTGTTAACACAATATGTAATATATAATATACAGTAAGTTAACATGTTAATAGTTATTAGGTATGAAATGTTTTTACTCGATTATATTTGTTGTTTAGTGAAATACATTAGTGAAATACAGAATGTGCTACGATTTTTGTCGCAGACATCCAATTAATGAGCATATTCTTAAGGCTCCTTGCCCAAAACGTTTATTTGGTTGGTAATAGACCCGAGCACTTGGTTTTGGTTTTAACACCGCACTCAGACCACTAGTCTCGCTTCAAGACCCTTATTAGCTATTCTAACAACTTTTCTTGAGATAGGAGTCAGATCCACCTAGTCTTGAAGCAAGACTAACTAAACACACCATGCACTTGACTATTAGACTATTGCAACGAGGGTCCCTGGCATAACAAAATGGATTTTTGCTAAATTCAGATTTTTATTTTCTAATTCTGCTTCAAACTCTGTCGTTTCAGAAAAGGTAACTTATTTTTAATATAACACCCTTGATCATGTGACACAATCATTTGAGGCATTATATTGTCGTGTTTATTACACCATCTTGGTTGTAGAGTGGACGATTCTAATGACAATTCGCATATTCATTGAAAGATGGCACTGCACTCCCAAACGTTCATGAACTCCTGTCAACTCCAACTTCTTGATACTATTCATCTTATGAACTAACAGATGTAATAATGAACTGAGTGTGGTTCAATATAAATCACGTATAAGTCTAGCGAAACGATTAATCAAAAACATTTTAAAAGAACTGTGGACTAGTTGATAAAAATGTGCAGATTTATAGTCACACACAGACTCAGTGTGACAATAATCTTCTGACAAATATTATAGATGTCAGTGTTGTGTTAGTTTGTGTTAACTATGTATAATAGTGCCATCTTTCTAAATTAATCAAATTATTACTTCACGAAGTTCACGTTGACAAACTTGACACCCGAACTTGACACCTCATTTGAATTTATTACTACGTTTATTTTTAACCATCATGTTGAAATCGATGATTACATAAAATAGGTGCTATCTAAAGATAAATAATTAATAAGGTAGCCTTCAAATCAAAGCATTCTTTTATTCAACTGATATGACAATTTGCTAACATTTGGAACATATTTTCATCTCTAAAAAACATATCTGATGCCAATGATGTGTAAACGGTTTCTGTCGCTTTTTCCAGGTCAGACGATAAAGTGGAAGATGCGACTCAGGTAAAAAACGACAAAGTTTAGAGCATCAGTCTCACAACACAGTGTACTGGGCGCCCTTGCTCTTGCTAAGTACCTTGATGTATGGACTCGGAGGGTCATGGGTTCGACCCCCTTACGAGGCATGTAAAGCAAAATGATAATTATATAGCCTAGGTTTCCTATATGAGCCTACCTGTGTATGTTTAGAAAGATATAGAACATATAAGGCGCGCGGGAAAGATTCGCGCAGGGTATTAGTTTCTAGCGTGGAAAATGCATATCTAAATATAATTGTATATCTGCATGCATATCTTACTCATTACTGCCAAAGAGAGCATTTACATGTATGTACCGACTACCGACACTCAGGGAGAAAACATGTAACATAGGACTAACGAAAAGTGATTGAAATAGATAAACGTTGTACAGAAGTATATCTACTGTTTTTGTCAAATCGTTTTGTAATTAGAAATAAATTTAAGTTGAAGTTTATTTCCTCATCGCCCATATTTGGCCATATTGAGTTTGCAAATTACAAATACAAAGTATTTAATACAAAAAGTTACACATTACAATATAATAATTGTACGACATGTACAATTGTAATTACAACTAACATTAGCAAGCTTACCATAAATTATAGTTATGAACTTAGAATTCAGAACTTAGAAAATACATCTACCATTGAGCTATTAAAAATACACTATGCTTTAAAGCTTACACTAATATAAATGAAAACATTTATAAAAATGAAAATGATGTGATGTATAATGGTGTTGACGTTTTCAAGAAATCAAATTATGCATTTTAACTAGTTTATTTTATTTCATCTAATTAGTTAGCTCCAATTTGTAAATGAACCTGATAAACTGTAATGTTTCTTTTCATCTGATCACATCAGCTTCCTCTTGAAGTTCACTTTTGATCCACTCCTCCGACCCAAAGCAACCATTACTGTTAAAGCTATGTGTGAGATGAATAAATGGAAAATGCTGGAAGATGATGACAAAAACTGAGCTTTCAACCTTTGACCTCTTCTACAACCCCCATTTTCAACCATAAATCATTCTTAAATCCTTAATCATTATCCTTAAACCATACCTAAGAATGATACTAAGCTTAGCCCGGGGATGAAAATGAACTGAGATAAATTGAAGATGAAACCGGGCGATGAAATAAGCTTACTAGTAGAGGGTTATTGAAGATTTGAACCTTTTGTGGACTGTGGTTGGTGCTCGCATGGGCTCTATCAGAGGTAGAGCCCATGGTGCTCGGCGCTCGGCTTCTCAAGAGGGGGAGTCACTGGCGTATCCAGAAGCTAATAAAGGATAGGGGCACATTTCAAGAAAAAAAGTTTCCAAAAATGTTTTGAAAATTAAAGGCCCATTTTTGATAGGCCTGAAATGAAAAAATAAAAGGCTAAGTAATCCCCAAAAGAAATTAATACATTTATAGATGTCGCATAAATCAATTTCTTGTTTTCATTCGGAATCGGTGAATTGGAAATCCTGTCGGTTCACAACTGTGTTTTGGGTTGGATTTGCGGGAGTAACGGTTCGTAGAATTACAGATATAAGTTGTTGATAGAGCATAAAAGGTCGAAGGTCTCGCCTACTTTTTCCTATTTATTGCGCACCAAAAGGAGTGTCTACAAACAAGGATTAAAACTCACTGTTTAAGCTGGTTTTAGCCTAGTCGGAGAGAAAAGAAGTAAAGTAATTGGATTTGTAAAAGTAGGTCAGCTCGGGAATAATAAACAAGATGGGTCTTGGAGGATGTTACAGTTGCATCAAATACTTGATGTTCGCATTCAACTTCCTTTTCTGGGTATGTATATTTTAAATCTATTAGAAGTATTATCTTCAACCATTTTCTTGAATTTATTCTATTGGATCTGTGATATTCTCAACTTAGGGAATCGAGGCTTCTTCAAGTCCAAATCCATTCTGTAACATCAGTGTTTCATAGGGTTTCATTAGATCTCGTCTCAATAAAGTAACAGATATGGATTTGTATGTGATTTACTTGGGATCATCCTTTATCTTTTGACAGTCAATTGTCGTATATCAATCACTATAATCAGTGTTTATTTGATACAGAGAATATGATACTAAATTGCAACACTGACTGTTGTTACACTTACAAATACGTAATTCAGCAATTTGTACATTTTACTCACATTCTGAAAATATAATGTAGGGCACATATATACAAAGCCCTATGCATCACTCCCCTTTATATAGACTTGAGGACATGGATGAGAAAATACTTGATAGACATCTTTACTTCAACTTCTTTCCCTTCATCTCTTATGGGATATCTTTTTCACTTCTCGGTTGAACTTAATTGGCATTTTACCAGCTTCTTTATTGCTCGTGCCAAATCAGCACGATTGTTTTACATATCGTGTGATATCAAAGTCAACACCCATCTTTTGAGTGTAACTAAACTTACATGTGACCAAAACGGAGAAATGGAAAATAATTTATTTGTTGTATTTGTAACCGAGAGCATACTTTTATTTGACCCCCTAGATACTCATATCAATAAAATAACTATATGTGGGATTCACACCAGCATTATACTGTAATTATGTTAATTATCTATTAAGATTTATTAGCGTTACTCATTTATAGCTCTGATGATATTGCAATTTATATCTTTTATATGGATGAGTCTGTGATGTGTCATTCGCAATTCTATTGAGCATATGTGACAGGGAAAAGTTCAACCTCCGGGCTTCCAAGAGGTGCAGTGAGATTTCAAAAAAGTGTTATTTGATGGGTTGTGCCCATCTTTTATTTTTTCAGCTTTTTTCAAAATGTGCTAGTTAGTAGTTACATGTATATAGCATTAAATTATCAACAACTCTGTATATTATGGAGCATTTTATGTCTTATTTATGGGCCTCTCTGTGCAATAAAAGTGTTGTATTGCATGTGTATCTGTATCGAACTATGTTTATTGCACTATTATTTGAGAAATTCAAGTAAATTACTCTGTATTTCATATTTAACTGATGATACTATCTCAGTCGGAAGCATAGTGCTATAAATTAGCTGTGGTATTGTGGCACAATAACTCGAGTATTTACATCAGACTGAATACATGTTATTCTTTTTTCTTTTTTTTTTCTTTGGAGGCACAGATAGGATATCCATACACCATATTTAGTCTTGCATCGAGCCTACCCCCTCCCTCATACAGTGGTGGGATAGATAGAGGGAGTTACCAAACTTGATTCAAAACTATTTGACGGTATGCAAAACACAATCAGGATATAGGTTGATAAGACAAATGGGTCCACAAATCCAAAAATGAAAAAAGTTTAAGCTTTCTCATAAAAGGTCAATGTCAAACCGCATTTAACATTTGCCTATTACAAATCTTACCTTAGGCTCCTGCAAGCTATTTGCCTATTATACAAAGTCCTGTTTGTAAAGGAGCAAGTGACACAGATCTTTCATGCTTAAAAATCAAAATAAAATGTACACATATCTGTATAGAAACAACGTACAAATCAGTGATCTTAAGAGAGAATTAGAAAAAGATTTGATTGATCAAAAAAAACTTTGAAATGACTGGATGAACACGATAAGAGATATTTCATTTGTAAGAACTTAACAGATGAGATTGATGAATGTTGTGACTGTTCACATGAGGATGGCTAAAGGAAGGCCAGGAAGAACATTCTGACTTGGATACTGGTTTAAATTTTGCCATACTAGGCCTGCCTTATATATAAATGGCTGTACTGTTCTATAATACTAAAGGCTCATTACCAATTTTACTTCATCTACCATAGGGATATTACATCACCATTTACATTTACTGTTTCAAAACTATAAACTGCATAGACGCTTCTATGTTTTCTTTTGTCTCAGGGGCAAAAACTGGTTAATTTGACTTTGACACGGTATGGTGTCTAGCATTTATGCTACTGCAATTTTTATAGCCCATTTTTCATATTTTTCTCTGTAGCTTTGGGTCAACATTTGACATTTTTCCAAGATACTTTATGGTGTATAGTAGGCCAGTAAGTCCAATTAGGAAGTTTATACGATGTTTTTCCAACTGTTCTTATGCTAAATTAAATAACATATATGTCATCATTTTTTAACCATATGTATATACATGCCTTCATGCTGCTACGCTGTTGATCATTGTTGGTTTAAGAAAATATTGCCAAATCTCTTTAATGGCCACACCCCCAGCTCCATCTTTGTGATAGAGCCAAAGCATGATATGATCTCCTCAGCATTAGCAAGTGGGTGAAGCACCCACCTGAAATTTTGGAAATAGACTTGCACCCACCTGAAAATCTATTTGCACTCACTTGAAAATGAGAAAAATCATGAAAAATTGGCATATTTTGACCAATTTTGGTCTGAATTGAAAAATGAGAATTTTGCACCCACCTGAGAAAAAAACCTGGGGAGATCACTGCATGATCATCACAACATTCTGGTACTTCCTTCCATCTTGCAAATTAAGATGTTCTGATTTAATGACCTTTTCATCCCTTTTTCATACCATTAGTGCTATAACACTCATTTGAGTTGAAAATAGGTTTGTACTCAAGAGAAATCCATTTGTATTTTTTGTAGTAACTTGGAAATTGGAAAAACATTGTAAATGCACAGTGTTTTGTACTTAGGTAAAAAAATACGAAAATGAGAATGTTGCACTTGAAAAATCCAGAGAACCCTGAATTGATTAAATCGCAAGAGAGAATATTTTCATGTAGTTGCTATGACACACAGCAGCAGGAAACATCTGTGTATATTTCCTTTCACAATTCTATAATTGGAAGTTAACTGATATGCATATTTTGATTAATTGTAAATCCATGAGATATGAGATTAAAACTGAACAGAAGGAAGTACATGTAGCAATATTTTTAATTTTTTTCTTGTATTTATCGACTGCTATGAATCAAAGCAATGTAAAATCAATTTTCGATGTACTTCATTATTCATTAATACAAAATCTGTAAAATGTTCCTATAATGTATCACATTTTTAATCAGTTCAAATTCAACACATGAAAAAACTACAGCCTGTTTTTCTGCATTGTATAAAAAATGCATAGAGACTCATTCCTAATTGTGTATGAGGTTTCTTTTATTGTTGAAGGCCTCCACTTTCTGGCAAGCAACATTAATATTTCAAATAAGGTCATGTTTAAATATCAGTATTGGCCCCTTCTCTCGTTACATTGCATTATTGATAGACATTAACGGCGGGAAAATCTTATATGAACATGCAATCAAAGCGATCAAAATGCTTTTTCAGAGACACAAAAGAATATAACAAACATAACCCTTGCTAAAAATGACATCTTGATGCTGTTTTATTATATTTCATTGAATTGATTATCTGAATTGGTTTTTTTAATTTTCTCTCATTTCTCAATGTTTTAAAATATGTTGTTTCTTTCGTGTTTGTGTTATAAATATTTATTTTGAAGCATTATGTATTAATAATATATAGTTTTTTATTATATGTATTGTAAAACCTAAAGTGCACACTGTTAGTAGCCAGGATGGAGAGTAGAGGACGGTGTTCTGATTAGAGACCATAAAAAACTGCTCATTGTTGATTGATGATGTGTCAATCTCTCTATTTGGAATCACAATTTTAGTGTAATAAAGGATGTGCAATAAAATTCAAGAATTCAAAGAGTTCATATTCCAGGGTGCTTTGCTCACATGTGTAGGTTTTATAGTAATTACATTATCATCTAGTAGCATAGTCACATCACACCATATACCCAAAGAATCAATAGAAACCATTGTCACCTTAACATATGTAAATGTGCAAAACATACCCCTTTCTGTTAAATCATGCACTAGGTCTTCAAGTCTACTGAGGCAACTGCCCAGGCTCAGCAATGGAGGATTTACATCCAGCTGAAAATCACCCTAAAAGCTCAGTAAAATTTTGGTAAACATTTATTTTCAAAATACCTTTTTAGAGATCTTTGACGTTAAACTTTTTCCAAATAGTAAATTTGAAAATTATATGTTGACTTGTTTGAATTAGTAAAATGAAAATTTAATACATAAATGAGATAAAATCTGGAAATATTGCCCTGAAATATAGTATTATTTCTTGCATTTTTTATTTAATTCCATGTAGGACAGGTTCAACTGTAAACATGTGTGTTGGTATAAATTATGTAGAGATATGCCAAGCGATAATTATCAGTCCATAAAGAGAGTCACCTCACCCATAATACCAAGGGACAGATAATTACTCATGGGAGAAATATTACTAGTCATGGTTTAGAATCATCAAATCAAGTTAAGAAAGAGGTGATTCCTGAACAGTGGTTTGCATGGACATGAGGTCAACACTGGAAACTATATAGAAATAATATATTAGTATTGTTCATATTTTTCATATTTCAAGAAGAATTTATATCAAGCCATTGATCTCCCTAGTATTAAAGCAAGTGGACGCAGCACCCACCTTAGATTTTGAAAATAGCCTTGTACCCACCTGAAAATCCATTTGCCCTGACTTGAAAATGAGAAAAATGATGAAAAATTGGCATATTTTGACCAGTTTTGGTCTGAATTGTGAAAATGGGAATTTTGCACACACTGAGAAAAAATCCTGGGGAGATCACTGCAAACATTATCATCCCCAGTAGCATTTTAATTGTGCTATCTATAGGGATGAGTACTTTATTATGTTGATTATATTTCCCAAATGTGATCTATCAATGCTGTACTGCATCATAAGTGGGAGCTGTATACATCTATCATGTATTAGATAGCTCCTGATTTAAGTTGCTACACTACCCCTTCTTAGAAAGAAGTT